GAGTCTACCAATATGACCACCTCACGTGACAAAATGTGTCCACGTACCTTAAGGGAATTTGCCGCACACAACCCAACAAGAGACGAAACACAAAGTGCAGCTGATTCTGGAGCCGGAGCAATTTCGGTGTCCCCGGAAGTGTAGTCCAAATTAGATGCATCAGAAGTAATTTCCTCCACATCATCTTGAACCCATAAAACCTGAAGTGATTTCTGAGCACAACAGTGTCCCGGGCTGTATTTCTCGTCGCAATGGAAGCATAGACCTTTCGCACGTTTCTGCTGCATCTCTTTATCGGTCATCTTTTTGAAAGCAGGGGGTGGGGCCTTAATAATAGGGGCTGATGAAGAAGGAGGGATTGCGGCACGTGCGGGTCAGGTGACAGCAGGAGTAGTCACTTGCGAAACCCGTGAGTTAAAGTGGGTTCCAGAGAGGGACGTTGTGGGCCCACGAGGAAATGAACCTGATTGATAAGCCCATAAGGCCTGATTCTTCTCAATTTTCTGGGCTGCAACCATTTTTCTGATCAGCCCAACGGGTTCCATCTGTCGGAGTTCGGCCTGGATATCTGGGCACAACCCATTAACAAAGGCTGCTTCAAGGACTGATTCTGGCAGGTCACGTAAGGGAGCGGAGAGCACCTCAAATTGGCAACGATATTCCTTAACAGTAGAAGGTTGATGTAATGAGAAGAGCTGCTCCTGTAAATTACCTTCCTGAGTCGATCAAAAACGTTCAAGGAGGAGTTCCTTGAATTCAGCCCAACTCCGAAAAGGTCGTCGACCATCCTCCCAATAATACCACGCCAGTGCATCACCCTCTAAACAGACCACTGCTGCCCTCAAACGTTCCGCTGGAAGCAAGCCATTAATCTCAAAATAGCGCTCCGCGCGAAAAAGCCAGCCGTTTGGATTTTCCCCATCAAAAATAGGCAGCTCCAACTTCCGAGGAAGTGAATCAGAAGTATGTTCCRGGACTGTCATTGAAGGGGACGTTGGGAAAGCTGCACCCTTCCCTTTGTCAGCCGCACGACTTGATGCGGCTACAGGAGGAACATTGTCAGTTGTAGACAAGAGAGATGACAAGGACTATTGCTGCAGCAACAGATCAAAACGCCTTACCAAGTCTTGAACACCTCCTTCCAGGGATGTGATCTTCGACAGTCCAATTGTTATCTCATCACATAAGCCATCCACTTCAGAATGCAAAGAAGTCAAGCGTTCTTCGAAACCCTCCACCTGCGATGCCACTTCCTTAGCTGTCACCATGGCCGAGGAAAGACGTGCTCTGATACCACTGATATGTCCCAGAAATTTGGCACGCAGTTCACAGACTTACAGCAACTAGACCTGTTCATGAGCCGGGCCGGGCTTTGACTCTTTATTAACAGAAAAATGTTAGGCCCGAGCCCGAGCCCGGCCTGACCAACAAGCCTACAACTTGGGCCCGAGCCCGAGCCCGAGCCCGAAGCCCAACCTAAGAAAAGAAATTCAAAATTTTCCCTATTCAAATGGACATTTTCTATTTTAATTTAGATGTTTTTTCCCCTATTTAAATGAACAATGGGCCTACAAGTGAATCAACAACATTCTCAAATCAAAAAATTTATTCAAATGGACATCACATAGGGTTTTTACTTAGGTTTAACTATAGGTCAGGCTGGGTTTACTTAGGTTTAACTATAGGTCGGGCCGGGCCGGGCTCGGGCCGCGCTATTTTGGCAAAGCCCGAGCCCGGCTCAAATCTTATGCGGGCCGGGCTTTTTGGCCCGAGGTTAAGCCCGCAGGCCAAAAAGCATGTTCAAGCCTGTCTGGGGGTCGAGCCGGGCCGAGCTGGCTCGTCGGGCCACCCGGCCCATGAACAGGTCTAACAGCAGCGTTCACACACTCGAACATCAACAAAAGAAACTAGTATTCATTCAGCAGAAAACATTAACAGTTGGTCGGTTCTTCGAGAGACCGTCGGCTCTCCCAAACACTCACAATATTCTTTACTCAAAGAAAACATACCACCCCCATCCCCCAAAGCCCCTTCTTATACTCTACTGATAGCATAACTGACTCCCTCTATAAATGCCCAGCTGGCCTAGTTATAAATGCCCAAAAACTCTTCTTATTCATAACTGACATAGCTATAAATGCCCCAAGACTCTCCTTATTCCCTCCAGCTATAATTGCCCTCATGTGATTAATTGTTCAATTATTTCCCCCCCTTAGCTGATTGTTGACCTTTCCTCTTCCTGGCATTAATTGGGGCCTATCAGGGTGGTGGAACTCTTTGTTGTAAAGGGTGCTATTCCTTACAACTTCTTGTTGTATATTCTCTTCATCTTTGAGTTTTAATAAAATTCCTTGAGTTTCTGATAAAAAAAAAAAAAACAGAGTGAAAAGCCTAAGTGGTAGGACCCTTAACTTTTATCAAGAATAGGTATGCAAGTCTTAATCTAAATCTTGGATGTTTTTAACACCACTAAAGTTTTACCCAATATCACCAAGAAACTCCCACCAAGGCACCAACTCACTGTTCCTCAAGGTGTAAGTATTTCCCACCAGCTATATTTAAAATCTCTTTGATTACCCGATTCTTTTTTTTTTTCTTTCTTATCAATAACTGGAGACTCTATTAATGATCTAAATGCAAACCTCCACTAACAGAGTACCAGGATACGCAACAGGAGGGAAGTAAAAAAACAGCCATGACTGACAAAACAAGACTAAACAATTAAGGGAATTGATTTAAGATTGTAATTCTGTCCCCGTTCCAGTGCCCCAAACGAGGTTTTGGGATTATCCAATACTACCAACCTCAAGCTAAATTTGACTTCTAACCAAGTTTTCACAACAGTTGTTCATTCAAATGAATCAAGCCTCCCTCACTTTTAGAATCATTATGAATAACCTAATTTTAATCTGATTTCTCTAATCACCCCCCAAAAAAATAAAAAACAAAAGAAGATGTACTGTACTCTGTTTTTTTCCTAGATTTACATCGAACAAGAATATATGAATAGACTTTGTTATCTAAACTAAAGAAAAATATCTTATGTATGAGATATATAAATATCTTATATATGAATAGATAAACAAAAGTGGCAACAAAAGAATCATATCTTATGTATGAGAAGTGAAAGGAAGATAAAAAGGTAATGACCTGACTTGCGCAGCGCAACCTTGCGCTTATGGGGCTGAGGCTGAACGGGGGCCTCCTTAGCCTCACGGGCAGCTCTCTTGGCCAAATTGGTCTGGTGGCGCTTCCCCTGTGTATGGGCCAAGTAATTCCCCTCGTTGTTGTGCAGCGTCAGACAAAGCTTACACTCGTAGCTACAAAATGCAAACCAAACCGACAAATAAAGACTCCACGCCACCAAATGAAGAATAAATTCATATACACTACGTGCATTAGGGTTTCGAGAAAGAAACTAAGCAATAAAGAAAGAAAAGATGTTAAGAACCGACCTGCCGAGATGGTTGCGCATGAAGTAGGGGTCCTTAGCGAGATCAATGGTCTCAAGAGCCAGTCTTCTCAACCGCTCCCTCCTGTCGATAGCTTCGTTCTGAGCGGAGGCCGCGCCTCCGCTCCCTGGCTTCGATCCCCAGTCTCTATCCATTCTCCTTCCTCTCCGGCTCTCCCCTTTTCTCTCCCTCGCCCTTTATTAAGGTATACAATCTAGCTAGAGGAGCTACCTATACTCCCATGCAGCGCAGGGCTCAAGTTCAGGTCTGAGGAAAGAGTTCTCAGATCGCTCCCTAGTCCCTACGCATGGGAATTTATATATCCTCAATAAATGGCCGTTTTGCGAACGACAAACCATTTCGTAAGTCGGTTCATTTTAAATATCGGTACGTATTTTTCCTATCGGCCGATACGTATCTGATCATGCTTCCATAGTTCCATTAGTTCCATATTTTCCGTTTCAATCAGCTTTCAGCTTTTGACAGATAGACAATAGTAGAGACAATATTTATATTACTTGGAAAAAATCAAGATATAGCTATTTTCCGATTGTAGCGTAGGTATCGATTCATATTAAACAGATACATCGCAATGTTTATCGTAAAATGGTCCGACGGTCTGTTCCTTTGACCCTCTCAAAGTAAAGTTTTACAAATTCCTTACATTGACTACGCAGCATGTTTATCCTAAAACATCTCTTGTACTTGTATAGAGATGTTCCCAATACATGGTGGGATGTGAATGTGAGGTCAGTGTGAGGAGTGTTTTATGGGAGAATATTCCAATTCAAATTTTACTATATGCAATCCAAATTATCCAATGCCTTTAGTTACATCTTCATCCACATGATCAAATATCAGAAGTATCAAAGTTCCATTTTGCTTCTTACGGAGTGTGCCTGTGCCAACCTCACAGCACTTTTTTTCTTTTTTATTTTTTGAGTAAGACATGTTGTTAGGTCGGTGTAAGGCACACTTTGTGAGGAGCAGAACTGAACTCCAAATGTCAACCTATTTATGCACAGATCGAGGTATGAACTTGTGGCACTCGATAGCCAGATTATTTCATTTAGGTCCTGTTCATTTTTATTTTGGCCATTCAGCCAGGGAAATACTTATCAGTAAGTGTATTTATTTCTCGTATAAGTGAGACAATGACTATTTTACCCTTAAAATACAGAATTAGAATTGTATTGACACTTTTTTTCCCGAAGTGGAAAAGTGACTTTTTTGTGAGTCCCACATGAATCAACGACAAAAAGAATGTGGAAAAATCAGTTAATGGATATCACAATCCCCCCCCCCTTCCCTTAAAAACAAACAGGGCCTTAATACAGTTGGTATGGGAAAGGACTCTTGATTGATTTAACCAGTTGGAGCCGTCCGTTCAACAGTAGCATCAGCATATACCATATAGTCAGATAACAGTTCCAAATTTTGGTCCTCAATATAATTTGTTGAAGATATTTGCACTTGAGACTCTGAAAAGAATATAAATATAAATATAAATACATGTAAGACTGTGCATTCTACATATTTGTATTTGTACTCTTCCAAACTGAGCCTGAGGCCCTATTTGACAAGAGTGCAAATACAAGTAAGGACCCTATTGGTATCAAACTTTGCCTGGTAGGGATCAACCAACTGATAGTGTAATTTTATGGTCAAATAGAATTGGAGCTAACTTCATCCTCGGAGGACTCTAGGAATCAAGATACAATCGATTATCTACCACTTCTATTTAGGGCGTTTAGGCTCTCTTTGTCGAATTCGGATTCAGTCCTCACAAAACCGTCCTCACACTGTGACTTGCAACTCTGCATTGGGAATATCTCCCCGTGAATGAAAAAACATACAAATACAGAGATGCTCCCGATACATGGCTGCAGAAGGCTATGAGCAGAGTGTGAGGACTGAATCCATACTCCTCTGTCTGCGGTGCAAGTATAAACCAAATACAAATGTTGCACCCTGTTCAAATTTGCATACATTTATTTACATACATTTGCATTTCCACCCAATACAAATTTTGCACTCATAAATTTGAAATTATTTAAAGTGCAAACTTCATATCAAAGTTCAAAAATCAGATGTATGAACAATTACAGAGCTACCTATGTTGGACGATGCAGGTACATCACATGCAAAGGTTTTGAGGATGGTAATAAATTAATATAAATGATGATAACTAACAAAAATCAGATGTACTTTTATGTCTCAACTGTTCTTATCCACCACTTTCTACCATAATGGTAATGCTGTAACACTATTCCCTGATTTTTAGTGTCAATAAATATCCATTGTAATAGTCTATCCCTCTCTTTTCTAATGATTATTTTTTAATATTTTTTGATAAGGTCTATGTTCTGTTTCTACTGATACAGAATCACCTGGTATAAATATAACTTCCTATTTTGAAGCTCACTGAAAGAATCAGAACCCAGAAGAATGTAAAGTAGAACCCGCATCTAATCATCAGTGACCCAGATTTGCCAGATAGTATGTTAGCCATCGGTTCCAGAGCAACAGAGTTGTTGATCAACTGTTCCGCAGCCATCACACCGTCCCTTGCCATGCCATAGGAAAGGAAGAGATCTGCATTACTCTTCCCCAACGAGTAACACTTTCTACCACCACTTACAGTCATGCCACTTATTTGTATCATCCCAGCAGTAACACGAACAGGATTAGAAGCTTCATTTGCTTTATTCTGCCCAATAGCTGCCTCTTTCAAGGGGAACTCTGCAGCAAATGAAGGGGGAGCAGGAATCGAACCCAGCATGCGGCTGACATGTTTGACAAGGTTATTGTCCCAACCATTGCCATGTTGGACATCTACACCATAAAAGGGCAGAAAACAAATATCCCTTATGAGGCAATACAGGCAGAAGAATGTGGCAAAAATAACAAACACTGGCTCATAGCACAAGTCAGAATCACAAATTTGGAACAAAGCCTTTCAAATATTTCTATATAAAATAAAAGGGGTTTTTATAGTTCAGTCCACCCCTGGGGTGGAGCTAAGATTTCTAGGGGTGGACTGAATCCTGCCCGTGGATTGATGCCAAATTCCCAGGCAGGATGCGGTTTATAGGAGGGGGGGGCTACTAGTAGACTAGGAGGGGGCTGCAATTTCAGATTTCTGAGGTGGATTGCAGTCCACTTATCCCAAAATAAAAAGCTCTACCATTTCATTTGACATTTCATGTGATAGTTCAGGGACAAAGACCCATGGTTACTTTTTCTAAAACAGTTTTTTTTTTATTTGAAAGATTATGTACCTGGTGAAAACTTTGTTGTGTCTGGTTTTTGCTTTGAAGAGGATGCACCCTCCTCACCATCTTGTAATATAAAGGGCTGAGGTCCTTCAGGAAGCACTTCTCCAATTTCTGTGTTCACCTGTATACCAGATCAACATTCAAGATGTTCAGTTGCCACACTAATTCAAAAGTGACAAGCACAAGGCTTTGAGAGATTACCTCCAGGTTGAGGATTGATTCACTGAAAGTAGGAGTCTTTAGGTCATCCTCAACAGCATCAAGATACATCAGATATTCATCGACCATTTCAAATTCTGATGGACCTGCCTCTACATGGTTCTGGAGATCATTAATTTCTAGGAATAACCCATCATTGATTAGTAGACTATCAGAAGAATCAAAGAACTTCAGCTCCTCATTAATATGGTCAATGCCATGGGAATCATCACCCATAGGATTCACAAGATCATTCAGTTCAACAAAATGGTCATCTTGGATTGCTGTTGGCTCCATCTGATACTGTTCTAATAAGTCAGCGAACCATCGGTCATCAGGCAGTTCTGGTAAGTTTTCACTTTTATCCATGCCAATTAGTAACTCCTGATCATCTTTAAGGTCCTGCCATTCTTCTGGACAGTTGAGATTCTCATCATCTTTGAGGAGGTCACCAGGTCCCTCTAAATGGTTGAAACGATTTCCAGAATTAAAGTTCAATGGAGCAGGAGTGCTTTGAGATGGATCAATGCCAAGATCCTGAAAAGATATAAAAATAAAGATTTTAGGGCTACAATTACAAGAACCCAAAAGGGGTCATCGTTGCTTGATGCAAGGATAAAATCTCAGCCTGACAAACATGAGAACAAGGGTTTGATTCCAAGAATAGGCACTTTGTGTGAAAGAATATCAAGGTTAGGTTAGTATCCAGTCCAACCCTCAATAGACCAAGATGGCCGGGGGAAAATTAGGTATTGGCCCTTAACTATGAGAATCCAGAAGAAATATAACACTAGTTAATGAATCCTGGAGAAGACAATCTAAGAAATACAACACAGAATGCATAACAGCAATGATCAGAACTATTTAAGTTTGCAGGAACTTAATGTAAAGTTATAAATAATGTTTATCAGTTGATTAATGCTATTGAGCTCTTAAGTTCATAGTCCTGACAAATGAGAGTTCAATAAGAAAAACAGAAAAAGGGAAAGGGTACTTTTATCCTTGTGGCCATTAAATGGCACACATCAACCATTAGTCAGTCATCATAAATAAGAGGAACACAACAAATTGAATTGAGTTTGTGGAGGCACAAACAATTTCATATTACTGATGCAAAAACAAATATATTAGTTGTTATTAATTTTTTCCCACATTATCTCGATAATATTAAAAAATTGCTTGACACAAAAAAAAGGCTCAAAAGGAAGTATATATTTCACCCACCAATTGTGGAATAACCAATCACTGCCTTGTCACAATCAGGTTGTCCTGCAACAAGAATCATGTCCTCCATTCCACTCTAAGGCAGTTATAATAATTAGCTAAGGATCCTTTTTTAGCACCTAATCCCAGTTAGTTTTAGCCACCCCTCTCCTTTTTCTATCAGTAACTCATCCAGCAATTTCATTAGTATGAAATAAATGACAGAACAAACAAAGTAGTACACAAGCACAGGACCAAAAAGAAAAAAAAAAAAGAAAAAAATGGGATAGATCCAATAGCTACTTTGCCCCATCATATATACCCCACACTCATATATAGTAATCCTTACCCCGTGGGTATTCCCCCAACCCTGCAAACGGATTGGATTGAATCAGATGTACCTAGACCCAAGTTTGATTCATTAATACTCAAATTCAAATCAAATCTTATCGATGGGATTTAGATCAAACTCAGATCAGATTTGGATATTGAATATCATTAATAGATTAAACTAAAACATATCTGGATATTATATGTTATTAATAAAATAAAGAGAAAACCTAATTTAATATTGTATGGCATAAATAAAACGACTTGAAAATAACTTTTGACTTAAATCTGACTCTTTAGTGAACATATATTCAACCACTTCACTAATAGATAGTTAGATTCATATTAATTTTATGATGATATAAGCATAAATGTTAATTTGTAAATGAATAGATTAGTACTGATCCGTTGATGATAAAAAAAGAGTCAGCCTGGGCAAGCCCCAGCCTAAACATCTAGGCCCAGCTCAACTGGTACATGGGCTGGTCTAGTGCAAAGTTGGCCACAAATAAGGTCCATGGCTCAGTGCAGACTGTTTGAATTCAGATGTCACCTAGCCCTCAAAGCAACATCTAAAGAAAAATAAAGTTTGACATCCATCAGGTAACAGGTAATGGGTGGCCACACTGCTATGGTAGGTGGGTAGGTGGGCTATTGGACTTAGACTTCAGGTTTAGGTAAAGAAGTAAATAAAAACATATTTTGCACATTTATATGATATATAATACATAGGATATGTATATATTACAGGCCAAGTTGGGCGGACTAGGCCTTGAGATTTGATGCCCAGGCACAACCCGTCCTATGTGTAGGTTTAGACTTTAGTGCAAGTCCAGGCTGAACTCAACTAGAAAAAATTCATACCAGGTTGGTCCAAGCCGATTTTAATCACTCCTATTGACAAAACTGCAGCACCAGAATTATGACCAAGAAACCAGGCCACTCTCTAACATTGATGGTTGTATTGAATTATAACTGGACTACAGTGGATGATGATTCACAGGTTGTCAGTCTAGATGCAACTTAGCACGAGAGTCCATTGACATTATAGCATTGAATTAAAAAAATTAGATCCCTATCATTTAGAAGATAATCAGCTAATTCTATGACTGGATAATATGTGGATAATTTGGTTTGGTAGGAAGGGATGGGGTTTGGTCATTCCTGTATGTATTTCCATTGTATGCATTTATGTTAGTAGTACACTCTTCCTTGTTTGTTGTTTTGCCTCCATTAAATCTTCTTTTCTTTAATCTTTTCCCATTGTTCAGGGCTTGAAAATTGTAATTTTTTTCTCACATTCAAATAAAGTTTTTTTTTTATTTTTCATCCAGATAAAAAAAAAAGGTTCATCAGAGAAAATATCACCTTTCAAACCCTACCTCCCTCCCTCCCTCTCAGGTGTTCATTAAAACAATATCACAGCCATCATATTGCCCAGAGAGCACCTAAGCAAACACAGAGTAGTACCAAATGTGTGTCCTTGTAACCATCGTTTTACCCATTAAGGCAATAGCAAATATGAATCCTATAAAGATGGAGAATCATATAAAATATGCAAGAAGAATAATGGAAACCACAGCAAGTCACCAAGTATACAAAACTTAATTTATCTCACGAAGGTGAAACAATGCCTTTGTGCAGATACTCAACCCTAGATCCATCTAGTTCACATCCAAACTACAAATTTGTTGGCCAACCTCAAAATGTTCAAGGACCATGTGACACCTTGATTTTTTTTCCTTTTTGTAGGAGGATAAGTTCCTCTTCAAAAAAAAATAATATATTAATTGGTAAGCCCTAGCAACATTCTCCCTCTGTGAATAGGTTTCTGCAACCCCATCTCATATTTCCTTAGTTGTATTTGCCCATAAAAAATTTTTACTTATATGGGGCAACATGGAATTAAACAACCAAGTCATCACCATATAATTCTCCTGTACCCACCGGGAGTTGCTAGTTTCGGGTTTCACTTCTTCACCAGTGATATACCCTAATTTTCCACGAGCACCAATGGCCATCTTTGCAGATTATGACCATTCTAAGTAATTTGCACCATCCAACCTAATTGTAGTAATGGTCCCAGTCTCGAAAAGGTCTCCAACACCTCCTCTCACTGGTCTCATTTCACTCCCAGGCTTATTTTCAACTCCGTGACCCTCCATGCTTCTCAAAAAGTGTAAAGGAAATAACTGAAATATGCAAGAAGATCAAATGAAACACTTCTGGAATCAACAACACCTTTCTAGTGTCCTATACTGTCTTTCCACAAAAGATTCCTTTTTTCTGTGGGACGGGAAAAAAGAGAGAAGAGGCAATTGCTCTCTCTAGAAGCCTCCAAATCAGGCAGGACTTGAACCGCCCCTGACAGAAAACTCCAAGGAACCCTAAAAAATTAGGGAACCACTTCCTAGGTCAAAATTGAAGAGTCCAACAGAAACACGACTCTTTCCCTTTCTCCAGTTTTTCCTGAGTTTGATAAGAAACCCTAGACCAGCTACAGGGCACACAGATCCACCAAAAAATCCAAAAACTGGGCTTACTTGAGATCTTCGATCAGCCTCTTAAATCACCATGCAGTCGACCGACCTAGGGCTGCATGAGAAAACAACTCAAGGAACCTTCGGCCTGCTCTGATACCAAGTAGAAATCACTGATTGCAGATTTAGTCGAATTTCTTGTGAAGGGAAAGAGGAGGAAGATGAAGATTTCAGCAGAAGAGAAGAAAAGAGAAGGAGAAAGAGTAGGAAGTCAACCAGGATTCTTAGATTTACCCTAGCTGCCAACTCCTCATTATATTTATACTTAATTTAAAGAATGAGATATTACTAGGATGCCCTTAGTAGGGCGGCTACTAATGTAGCTGAGCAATCACAACTTAAACATAAACTAATGGGCCTAAAGCCCAACAACTTCCTAACTAAATAACTTAAAATAAGAATAAAAACAACTAGGCCCATCTCAACAATTCTTAAAGGTAGATATAACAAAGAGTGCTGAAATTGGCCTTTTAAAGGAGAATTCCCAACCCAAACATGTTCCCAAAATTTAATGAGATTGTTTGAGTGCAAATCATACCTGGTCCAAGGAGAAAACAAAGGCAAAATAGCTTGGATGGCTTTCTAGGGAGATGCCCTTGTAGTCCTTGCTAGAATCCCAAAGTCCCATCCATTGTCTGCAAGCCCATGAATACTACGCACTATCTTGGAACACAATTTTTCATTTTACAATGAAAATTTCCATAGCCATTTACCCAATAAGGCCAAGTTTCTCTTCCTTATGTTCTCAATAACAAGGCCTCCATCCTTCTTACTCCTGCACACCACCTCCCACCCAACCCTATGATCTTTTTTATCCTCCCTTGGCTCCCAAAGGAAATTTCTCATTAATTTTTCCAACCTACTAGCCACCCCCACCAGATTCTTAAAAACTAACAAAAAGTAAACAAGCAAGTTACCTAAGGCAGACCTAATTAGAGTGATTCTCCCTCCAAGAGAAATTTCACAAAACTTTGGTTACACTATGATAACTAAAACAAAATCCTAAAAACTTTGCATGGAATTCTTTCAAGTAAGATTTTAGGAATCCTTCCTCAAATTTCAGGATTTCCTCATATATATTTGTAGACATTAAAATTTTCATGGGCTTCTAAATGGGCCCTACCCCCCCATAAACTCAAATTTGCTCATGGGCTTTACTATGGGTCCTTCTATATGGACCTTACCCCATACTCTCAAATATGTGCATGCCCTCACTTTGAAGTCAAACTTAAATTCAAATTTGAATTACAAATCTTAGTGGTTTATGGAAATAATCCAACTAAAGCCCATCTCAAGTCCTAATGATAGAAATCTGGTCAATGATCGGAGAAAGAATAGTTGATCAAGAATCATTCTCTCTATAAATGGAAAATTGCCGACACTTTTCTTTATAAAAGGTAACTAGAGATAATCAAATTTCTAATCAACCAAGGCACATCTTCCTGTGGACGGAAATTAGTCAAT